AAAAAAAAAAAAAAAAACTGAAGAAAGTCAAAGACCAATCATCCAGGAAGGAAGCTAACCTGAACAGTTTGTATTTGTGGTGACTGAATAACCGATGGCTGTGGTGTCTGAATTACTCCCTGGACATGCACAGTTTGGCCCGAAGGTAACTGCACTAGAGTTACAGCTGGGGAGCCTCTTCCGGTGCCTGATCCAGCTACAGAAACCTGCAAAAACGATCATCATTGAGGATTAAGGCTGGATCATTTTCTGTTCTTTTTTTTTTTTTGAAGAAATACCAATCACTATTAGGACTGGCCAATTCTTCCTTTCTTTCTTCTGCTTCTAAGAAACGATGAGCGTGCTGGGGTACTTACCATTAGGAGGCGGTTACTGTGCTGAACAGTCATTCTCTGATGTGATAGATATTAAAGAACCCATGCTCCTCACTTTCAGTTCCCATGCTTCGCTGGCGAAGAATGTTCCAAGCGCAAAGTTCTAAAGCAGTTAAACTACCTCACTACAACATCAAGACTACCAACAGTGAATCCTTATTTTGGCCAGAGTATAAACTACATAACTTCCTAAGAGAAACTGGAGACAGAACTTAAATGTGGTGAATTATTTTTTAATAAATGAAACGTTTGCCACATTCTAGTATTACTCCAGATGCAAGTTAATGCCTTGTCTCTATGCTAATGGAAATCAGTTACTGTTATCCCCCCATAATCACAAAAAAGGCACAGGCCAGAGGAATTCCAAGACCCCTCATGCTCTTAGTGTGTGTGATCCAGAGAAAGTACATGCCTTGGAGCTGGTATGGCCCTCTTACAGATTCCCTCCCTGCTAGCTCGAGCATCTAGAGAAGAGGGCCAGAACCATCATTCAGCTTGCACAGAGTACAGCCATCTCCCAGCACCCCTGAGTGCTTTCAACAGAGACCTGTACCAGCAAAACACAATACCTCCACTCCCCTGGATTTAAAACCTGTTAAGTTTCCTACTGAGTAAACAACCCAATCCTATAGGCCAATGTAATCTTAGAAACTTTGCCTCCTTTTACTGTTTCACTACTCATTATAACCTACTCAAGAACCAAAGACTTTGGATATGAAATAAGTGAAATAAGCTACCAGCTTCTATCATGAATGGTAGTAGAACCACAAGATCTAAAACAAACTTTGAAGGAAGTCTCTGTGTAGTGCCTCACATTAAGAAACACCAATCTACTTTCCAATCTACTTATACTTTAAAGCAATTACTAAAAACTGGGTTTATAACAAATAATAAGATTTATTTACAAGATCATTTCCTTAGAAAGCAAACTTCTTCGGTAACCTGGAAGTAAAAATCGTTCATCCATGCAAGAGAACCTATGTGGTGAGCATTGTACTGGGTGCACTAGGGTATAAAGTAGAATTGACAAAATTAACACCTAAGAAACAATAGCATGCCAAACAGTATAGAACTAATTGCTCCATTGTACAGGTCATGAAAGTCAAGGAGTACAGAATAGAAAGATCAGCATGGGCCTGAACAGTAAGTAGAGGCTTTGTGTAGAAGCCACAACTTGAGCCAGGCCCTGATATGAGCTTGCATAACCAACAGAACAGGGCAGAGACACCCAAAATGTAGCCCACAGAGCAAATTCAGCCCACCTGCCCCTGCAGTATTATTGCCTACATTAGATTTTTGGGGAAAGAAAAAGATCATGTCATAATAGAATCGATAAATTTAATAACTAGAAGTTAAAAAAAAAAGGGGGGAGGATTTGTTTTACAAATGACAAACCAGCACAAAAGACAAAGCTGTATAATAATAAAAGGGCATCCACCCCTTTGTGGACCAATTACCAAAAGGTATTCTTTTCACCACACAAATAATTCTCAAACTTTTTAGTCTCTCAGGACACCTTTATACTCTTAAAAATTACTGATGACTCAAAAAGCTTTTGTTTATGTGATTTATATCCAGTAGGGTGCTGTCAACATCTGTCAATCAGTTTTTGGGAAAGGAGAACCTTGATTTGAAAGGTTTGCTGATTTCCATAATGTAAAAACTCCTACTGTGGCAGATTTCAAGTTACCAATGGATGACACTGAACATAAAGTTGGAAAAAGATGCACATAATTGGCTCTCACAAGTCAGCTCCAGCATACCATTGGTTATGTGCATTGATATTTATCATATTAGAAATGAAAACTGAAACATTTTTACATTTTAAAAATAACAATTCCATTACATGCTAACATAAATAGCATTTTATTAAAAATAATTACATTTCCAAAACAAAATATTAGTGACAAGAGTATCAATGCTTTACTTTTTTGTAAATTCTTTTAATGTCTGGTTTAATTTAAATCAGCTAAATTCTCATACCTACTTCTTCACTGAATCTGTTGCAATATGTTATTTTAGTCAATACCTGAAGAAAATTTGGACCTCACAGACATATCATTGGAAAACAAAGAGTAATATAATAGCTTTTTCAAAATATGTGGATAGTGTTCTTTGTTACTACACCAAAACTCAACAGGTGGTTGCTTCACATAAAGATTAGTTGCAATGTGGAATCTGGAACCATATCAGTTACATCCACTGACCAGTCTTATACTTTGAATGGATCCCATGCATGATTCTGTAACACCATGCAGTAGTTATCTGGAAAATATTGGCTCACTCAGTTAAGCAGATCTCCCAAATGCGGCCCCATTTCATGATACTTTATCAGAAAATCTCATTCATTAAAATCAACATAAATCTCATCAGAATACTATAAATACTGAAAAACTATCAAGTTCACAATGGTAGATGCAGGACTTCCAAAATTCAAACTGCTTAAAAAGCTTAAATTTTTTCATTGACAATAAACACTGTCAATTGTTTTCCTTGAAGTGACAAGCTTACTTCATTTGCTTTTAAGAAAATGTTTTCCAAATGCTCAAGTTTGAATAGCATAGTTTGGCTATTGGCCATTCTTTTAAGAAAACTGATGTCCTATGGGAAAAAAACCCAGCTAGTTCATCTCGCCACTCAATTACTCAAGTGTTTTTCTTCAAGAACACCATCAGTTTTTACTACACAGAAATGCTTTCAGTAAACATACCGATTTCCTAACACAGAATATTAAAATAACATGTACTCAAGGGTCAAGGTTTGATACAATGGGTAATATTTATTGCTTCACCAGGGTATTTTTAAGTGAAACTGGTATTTTTTTGAAAACTGCAAGAGAATGTCCATGAAGAACACAATGACTACTGGTATAGTTTGATGCCTCTGACTTGATTCATGCTAAGGCGCCAACAGCTTTACCCCTACCCTCTTCTATTTTTACACCCATCAGTGCAAGTATCAATATAGAGAAAAAGGAAAAGAAGCCTTAGCATTATTATGAAAATACTTTAGTCCTCCTAAGCCTCCTGAAAGTCTCCTGGAGTCTCTCCTAGGGTTGTGCACACCACACTTTGAAAACTGCTGCTGTATCCCAATGTAGCTCTTAGGCCCTGGCTCACAGCGTAAAGAACTGAGCAACGCAGCAGGCTGTGATATCAACTACACCACAGCAGCACAGCCGGAACCAATATATCCAGTAACCCTGATAGAGAGTTCAGATGTCAGACTGAGTAAAATATAATATGAATTATACCCCAGGGTACTATAAGTATTACAGACTGGACCTGCAGATTGAGATGGCAGATCAGTTTTCTCAAAAGAATGGCCAATAGCCAAACAAATTATGCTATTCAAACTTGAGCTTTTGGAAAACATTTTCTTAAAAGCAAATGAAGTGAGCTTGTCACTTTAAGAAAAACAACTGACAGTATGGTCAGTGATAAAATTCAAGCTTTTAAGCAGAAGTTTTAAATTTTGGAAATCCAGCTTCAAAGACGTTAGATATTTTGAAGAATGAACAACTCAAGAAAGATTCATACAGGTTTGATAAATATAAATCATGTTCTAAGTTGCTTTACTTACCTTTCAAGTATAATTTTCAAGATTTTAAATTATTAAATAATCACTCTATCAAAGTGGCTTAGTGTCAAGAATACCTGCTGTGGAAAGAGAGCTAATACAAACTGTATTCCTAGAATTCTGGAGATGAGTTATAGGAATTCTATAACTACAGTGAAACTTCTCTATGTCCAAACTCTGGGCAGTGCAAAAGCTCACGGGTCAGCTCTTTTGTTAAACTGCTGAAATACACGTAGAGAACCAGCAGAAATGACATACCCTAGAGTTAGAATTAAGATATATCTTTGGGGAAAAAAAACAAAAACAAAAGCAGAAAAACCCCTTAGATCTAGAGACATTATATATTCAGACATTCTATTCCCATTGATTTTACCAAAACTGATGTGACTAGTATTAGTCCTATCGCTGAACTGGTAGAGTTATAGGCTAAACCACTGGTATTCATTAAAAAACAAAACAAAACCTCATGTGGCTCCCTACATTTACATCTTAGTATTATTATTATATTATACTGATCACATGGGCCACAAGTGGAATATACAGCATCTTGAAGTGGTGTATTGTACACAGGTGGCATAGAACGAACACTGGCAATGATTCAAGAACATGCATGGAAGTTCTAAAGCCAAAAGTGGGTAAATAAAGAAGCATCTTTTTGTTTTGTGTCAGGTGGTAGATTCAGTTTTAGGTAGGCCAGGTTGAAAGCAATGGTAGGGCAACGAAGTGAAAATGCTAATAAGAAGGAGAATTGTGTGACTGATGCCTTAGAGCCAAAAAAACAAAGATCTGAGCAACACTAAGAGCAATCTATTAAAAGTATTATAATTACTTTATTCATAATGTGCAAACAGAATTCTAAAGAAGCTCCGGAAAAAGAAGAGAATTAATAGTCTTTCCTAAAAAGACATTGGTAAAGGGACATAAACTTTAGTTCATCTGAACTAAAATATGCATACTGCAGGTAGAAATAGAGAAATATTTCTTATAAATGTCAACTACTCATTCCAAGGCTAAATACACACAAAAAATCTCACAGAAACAAGTCATACTTATGAATTAACTCATTCTTTTATTCTCTTGACAAATACTTATTGGGAGCCTGCCATGTGGACCAGTCTAGACAGTGGAGATAGTGAAAAAGTTTCTGCTCTCCCAGATCAGGACAGAAAACAGATGAAGAGACAAATGTATCATTTTGGGGGTGTTAAATTCTTCAAAGAAAAATGAAGCGGAGTAAGAGATCAGAGAGTGAC